TTATATATATATATATATATATATATATATATATATATATATATATACGCATATCTATATATTTATACATTTGTAATATTAGAATAGGCATAGAATTTGGGCACTAACTAGATCTCTAACAACTTAGTGGAATGTAATTTACGAGATCTATATAATCCTTATATAATATTATATCCTAATATATACTTGGCAGGGATGCGGAGTTGCCCTTGTCATTGTCGGCTACCTGGTGCTGGCTGGCGACGAGGTAAGCGGTATCATCGTAGACCCAGAACATAGACTTATGACGTGAGTATATATCTGCAGCCGCCATGTTTTTACCCCTCACGTTCGGCTGTTCTTAGTACGGTGGTCGCCATTTCATCGGGACAGGTCGGAATGCGTGAAAATGCCCCGATGACTCAGTGGTCTCGATTTGGCGGCGCGGGGGGGGGGGAATGTTTCTAGTCGCACATTTACGACTAGTTGTATCTTACGCTGTTTTCTGTGTAGAACGACTGCTGTGCAATACACACGCGTCGTATAATACGCAAAGGTATATTTCTAATAATGCTTTTGAGCTCATTGTGTTTACAAGCCGCTGAAAAGTCAAAGATTGTCAGTTTGCCTTTAAGTTTATGATCGTTCATTCGAACATTCACTTAAGAAAGAAGGAACCACGTTCCGATTCCGCAGAACATATCCATTTTAAACGCGAGGTGCCTATCCCCTTTACCAAAAAATAAGACGTCACCCCTGCTGGCCTTCTATCTCTGTATGTTACACCACACGTACACACAGACAACACACGACACACACACCACACACACACAAGCACACACCACATCCACACACACAACCACCACCACCGCACACGCACGCGGCACGCGCGCAAGCGCACGCGCGCGCGCGGCACAGACGGAACACACACACAACGCACCAGGCAGAGCCGCACGCACCGACATCACACGCACGCGCACAGCACACAAACAAACACACCCACAGACGCAGCAACTCAGCACGCACGCACCACGCGATGCGACACACCACACAACACACACACACACACAACACACACAACACACACACACACACAACACGCATATAAACTATATATGTATATATGGGTCGTAACTGATACTTGCATGATATCGACAGGCGCCGCCCGGCCCGTATTGGGTGGTAGCTGCCGGTGTCCTTTGCCTATTGTTGCTCCGACGCTCGTCGGCTGCTGTGGCGCAGAAGGACGAGCAAATGCTTGCTGGCAACCGGCTAGCGCTATTTAATGGGCAGTCTGCTACTTAATAATCATAATCAATGATGCATAAGTGACAATGATTACCTAATATCATCTCTCCCCGTGCCATAGATTAACACCAGGAGTGAAATAATAGAGTTATTCTATATTGATCTATATTATTATATATAGTGCATGACGTGATGAATCGCTGGCAAATCTCATTGGATAACGCAGGCAGGCATTCCCTCCAACGCAGATCACGTGCACCCCCCGCCTCCTCAGCCCGGCACTATGCTTGCGCGACGCATTGTTTTATTCATAAAGCATTGTGTTTACGTCACGACTCTCACTGCGTCTGGCGCCACTCAAGAATTTTGGATTAATGGCGATTGGTTTGTGGTCGAGCGTTTTGTTACATCGAATGCACGCGGCAAATTATGGAGTATAAAGAGGTATACTACGCATGAGAAAGTAGATGCATAGTCATGTGATGCACTAAAAACATTAATGCCTGCTGTTGGGGGCACTATGCTCTCATAGTGTTGCCTTTGGAAGGAATAGTGCGACTCGCTACCGCTCGGGCACTATTTCTTCCTCAAGCAACACTATGCAGGTGCATAGTGCCCGCAACAGCAGGCATTAATATATAAGTTATGCATACGTGAATAAATCGTGTTTGAAATTACCATTGGAAATCAACGTCGAGTACTATAGCAATAGTGCCCGCCTGAGGCGGCATATTGCTGCGCGACGCATGTTTATATAACGGCATTGTGGTTCAGGTCTGAATCCCTGCGTCTGGCCCACGCAAGAGTTTCGACTTAATGGCGGGATTTTGTTGTGCGACAGCGTTTTGTTACAGTCGACTGCACCGGCAAATTAGGGAGTATAAAAGAATGGATAATAACATGAAAAGTAAAGATAACACTAATCTGTATTTTCATACATTTTTATATTTGTACAAATAACACACAAATATACTACTTGCTGGTGCTGAAAATTCGTGACGTAGACAGTTTAATACAATTGAAATTGGTTCGTCTACGAAACTTTGTCTTATTCATTATCTTTGCCAAGTAAGATTGCAAAGTCATGTGATGCACTAAACATTAATTGCCTGTTGTTGGGGCACTATG